ATATTAGCATATCGTGCGATGGCAATGCTTTTTTCTCATTCCTTTCTGTGCCAATCCAGCTTTCATTGCCTATTGTAATCTTAGGGACGCCAAAGACTGTAATAGGAGGAGTAGTAATGGAGAACTTCGAGATAATTAATGGAATTGTAAAGGCTCATCCTATGATTAGAGGATAAAATTAATGAGCCGTGTGGTTAGTTAAGGTTGTCTTTTTTGTCTGTGCTTTAGGCTCATACAGTTGAATGGACCGGATGGCTTGGAATGTAAATTGTGACACTACCATCTTCCCCACGCGATCATGCTTGGTTCAAAACTTGATTTTAGGTTGTGCCGGAGTAGTTATATAAGTGTATTATAGATATCAAACTGCGTTTAGACCATTGAAAATAATGAGTCTCATATGAATCTCACGTGGGTCTCACCAGATTTGACGATCTAGATTGAATTTAATACGTGGTAAGTTCATGGAATATTTGTTCGTTGTGCGCACCGTCATTTTGTCTTAGTTCAGGATGGATCTCCACACACCCCTTTGCATTTTTTTAACCGACATTATCATTTTTTTCCCTTTTTTTTTCCTATTCATTTTGTGGAAGTAATATGGTCCTATAGAAATGGTCCAATGATTTGTTTACTTTAACTCAAGGTTACTCAAGATTTTCTTTTTCTAGTAACAGTATATTCGAGACTTTTTGAGCGCACGACTCATATGCACAGAATTCGGCAGGGCTCATCGCATACATGTCGAGTAATGGCAGGAGATACAAGGATTTGTGCTTCTAGGAATATTTCTAGGTCAACATGCGAGTCTTATACATTGACTGCACTCTACACCACTCGTTTCGAAACCTATACTTGGCCCCATAAGGGAAATAATCTGAAAAATCATTTGTCATTCTTTCTGCAATAGAAAGTAAAACGCACCAGAAATCATATCTTAAGATTGGTTAAAATCTTTTAATAAACTTAAGATGCACACCAAATTCTGAGGTTGTGGAGTAGAAGCAGCTATAAGCTAAAGAAGCCAGACCACCAGTGGTACATCACAAGTATACCACAAACCGGACATACCATGTCCAAATCACTGGTTTATCTCTTCCATACAGTCTTCATCTTTGCTACGTTGAAAGCAGCTCAGTCCTTGATCCTTACCTCTAAAAGAAATAGCTTCCCTGCATCTGACAATGAGAGGTCAAGCCATGGATTTGTCTCGGTGATCCATTCTATGACATGCCATGTTCAGAGGAACCGGCGGGTCTGAGTATGAGCCGTCGACTATTTGCTCGAAAATCCATCTGTTCGCTGCTTCGGTGAAATGTATTCCATCCCAACTGACCCGGACCGACGGATCCTCGCACGACTTTGCTATTACGATCTCTTTGCCTTCAACTGTAATCTTGAATCCACACCTCCTACTGTTGTTGTAGTTGTACTTACCGCCATGACCGCAGCAGGCTACGAAAGGTTGCTGAAATCCTGCAAATTAGCAAAATTGTCATCGCAGGCCAAGTGTTATTGAGGCAACCTCCGATGATATAGTGAAAATAATCCATTGTATTCCATCCCTTTGTGTTTACCTAAATCTATGCTGAAACTATAAGTCCATTAGATTCTACAGCAACGCACCTATCAAATGACCTGTTCTGGAAAAATTATTAGGTCTGAAAAAGGATGCGGAGGTACTGAGGTAATCACCATGTTTGTGTGCTTGAGTGATGAGATTATACTTCACAGAGTACACATCAACATATGTTATTGCTGCTAGAGGAAGTTCTGTCCTGAGTGAATCCACTGCTTGCTTCAACCTGGCATTGAAGGACTGAGCCAACTCATTGAAAGGGCTCAAGCAACCGTGTTCATCTTCTGGAGCTTCGAGATGATACCGGTCCATGATGTAGATCAAGCACCCCAACGGGCCCGTGTTGTGAATCCAAAATGACCTTCCTCCTTCATCGTATACTTTCTGTTTCGGCATAAATCTTTTTGCTCATCAAAGTACTTCAGAAATGATTAGAATTGAATATGGAATATTGGCAAGAACTAGATTAGATAAATGGCAGCACCTTTATTGCATCTGAGTAGTGAGTCATCACATCAGGAATGTATGCCTTTATCTGATCAATGGTCATGTTCTGCTTCAATCCAGCTGTGAGATCGTTTTGGCCGATGTCAAACGTGTACAGAGCCCTGGAGAAGTACTCTTCTGGTGGCAATAAGCTCGTGAACACGCCTCCTTTTCGTTAACAGAAGGCACGGCGCATCAAAACAAGAACATCCACATTAGCATCTGAAAATGACAATAGCGATGAGAAGCAATTCGATTGCCAGGTTTACGCAGTCCGCCGTCGAGAATCGGTACCTTGAGACCGAAAGTATTGTGACCTCACGAGAAAGTCAGAGAACTCGTAGAGCTGAACGTTTAATGCGATCGGACTATATCCGCTCTGCGAAAGGGTCATGTTCTGAGGCCGGACCGGTGATCCGGCCGTGGCGAAATTGGCTCCATGACTGAAATTTGAACCGACGGAGTCCAAATATGCACTCAGATGAGGCAATCTCAAATCCTCCGCTGCAAAAAAGAAAGAACACTTTATTTAGCTCACAAATCACCATTAACCCAATAAATTCTGGCTCATTTTTTTTTTCAGATCAATGATTCTGTAGTGTAATCTGGACATCACATGGCACAAAAAAACATCGAAATCATTTGGACAAACGAATAGATTATCGTGTTTAGTTTTTTTTTTTTTGGTAAGGAAATCGTGTTTAGTTTTTCATATAGCTATAAATATAAAAAAAGGATTTTGTTAACGAGTATCTTATGAGCTCTTGTTAATCAACAAATTAAGAAATTTCAATTGTCAGCGCACCGATTTCCCTCGTTTTAGGATTACAATATTTCCAACGCCTCGTACAACATATATATATGCAACTAATGATTGATATAATCTGTAGTCTACGTTTCTTTTCTTGCTTCTGGGGTCGTCTAAGTGCTCCGTCTCCTATGCCTCGAGCTCCTAAAACGCTCATTAATGTACTAATCTGGGCCATAGAATATTCATCTTGTCGTGAAACTAAACCCGAAAAGCTTAGCAAAGACTATTTTAAGACGCTTTACAAGCAATTACAGCTTGCTTGGTTTTGCTCAAAAAGGATCTTACATTCCTCAAATTTATCATAATCACAATAATTAAAAGCGAAAGGAATTTTACGATTTAAAAAGTGTACGCATATAATTTAATATTAATACTAGGTTTTATGCTATTGATTAGTTTTATTCGAAAGGAATGCAAAGTTGACTAACTATTCTCGCGCGCATATATCGGCCGGATTACATATGGACAGATCTTACCTACCAGAATATGTTGAATTTGAAAATCTGCCTGAGGTTGGACCGTGAAACTCAGATTCAAATTCAAAAATAATTTGAATAATGGCATCTAACGTTTTTTGCAAGCAATCTCTGAAGAAAATTCGGATCTGGGAATTCTTATTCTCGCAAGATCAGTACGTGGGACTCCATGAAACTCAGATTCATTCCAAGGAAAGTGAAGGTTGCGTACCGATGAAGTCGATGAGCAGGCGGCCGTCGCAGTACCGCCCGGACAGCCTGTGGAAGTACGTCTCTCCGTTCGGCGGGGGGGCCTGCCCGAACGCCGCCGACAGCCCGCCTGTGTCGGAGTTCGAGTCCCCGAAGTTGAAGATGGACGGGAAATCGCACGCCGCCGCAGCAGCCGAACAAGCCGGAAATTGACGGAACAGCAACGCGAGCGCCACCACGGCCATTCGCAGGCCGAAGAAGGCCATCTCCCTCGAGTCAGCCTCCATTTGTTCAGAGTGCGTGCACGAGCGTATGTCAGCGAAAGGAAGAGTATATAAATAAGATGACCTGGTAATTTAAAAATGTTTCTTGCAACGACTATTGTTCAATTTGAATGCCGTCCATAAATGTCTGGATGTTCGTGTGATAAATTTATTCCCTGTTCACATTATACACAAACTTAACTAAGATCTGGCGTACTTGAAACACGAAAATGAATAAATCGATTTGGCGACTCGCATCGGCATATTAGCATATCGTGCGATGGCAATGCTTTTTTCTCATTCCTTTCGCTGCGCCAATCCAGCTTTCATTGCCTATTGTAATCTTATGGACGCCAAAGACTGTAATAGGAGTAGTAGTAATGGAGAACTTCGAGATAATTAATGGAATTGTAAAGGCTCATCCTATGATTAGAGGATAAAATTAATGAGCCGTGTGGTTAGTTAAGGTTGTCTTTTTTGTCTGTGCTTTAGGCTCATACAGTTTAATGGACCGGATGGCTTGGAATGTAAATTGTGACACTACCATCTTCCCCACGCGATCATGCTTGGTTCAAAACTTGATTTTCGGTTGTGTCGGAGTAGTTATATAAGTGTATTATAGATATCAAACTGCGTTTAGACCATTGAAAATAATGAGTCTCATATGAATCTCACGTGGGTCTCACCAGATTTGACGATCTAGATTGAATTTAATACGTGGTAAGTTCATGGAATATTTGTTCGTTGTGCGCACCGTCATTTTGTCTTAGTTCAGGATGGATCTCCACACACCCCTTTGCATTTTTTTAACCGACATTATCATTTTTTTCCCTTTTTTTTCCTATTCACTTTGTGGAAGTAATATGGTCCTATAGAAATGGTCCAATGATTTGTTTACTTTAACTCAAGGTTACTCAAGATTTTCTTTTTCTAGTAACAGTATATTCGAGACTTTTTGAGCGCACGACTCATATGCACAGAATTCGGCAGGGCTCATCGCATACATGTCGAGTAATGGCAGGAGATACAAGGATTTGTGCTTCTAGGAATATTTCTAGGTCAACATGCGAGTCTTATACATTGACTGCACTCTACACCACTCGTTTCGAAACCTATACTTGGCCCCATAAGGGAAATAATCTGAAAAATCATTTGTCATTCTTTCTGCAATAGAAAGTAAAACGCACCAGAAATCATATCTTAAGATTGGTTAAAATCTTTTAATAAACTTAAGATGCACACCAAATTCTGAGGTTGTGGAGTAGAAGCAGCTATAAGCTAAAGAAGCCAGACCACCAGTGGTACATCACAAGTATATCACAAACCGGACATACCATGTCCAAAATCACTGGTTTATCTCTTCCATACAGTGTTCATCTTTGCTACGTTGAAAGCAGCTCAGTCCTTGATCCTTACCTCTAAAAGAAATAGCTTCCCCGCATCCGACAATGAGAGGTCAAGCCATGGATTTGTCTCGGCGATCCATTCTATGACATGCCATGTTCAGAGGAACCGGCGGGTCTGAGTACGAGCCGTCAACTATTTGCTCGAAAATCCATCTGTTCGCTGCTTCGGTGAAATGTATTCCATCCCAACTGACCCGGACCGACGGATCCTCGCACGACTTTGCTATTACGATCTCTTTGCCTTCAACTGTAATCTTGAATCCACACCTCCTACTGTTGTTGTAGTTGTACTTACCGCCATGACCGCAGCAGGCTACGAAAGGTTGCTGAAATCCTGCAAATTAGCAAAAATGTCATCGCAGGCCAAGTGTTATTGAGGCAACCTCCGATGATATAGTGAAAATAATCCATTGTATTCCATCCCTTTGTGTTTACCTAAATCTATGCTGAAACTATAAGTTCATTAGATTCTACAGCAACGCACCTATCAAATGACCTGTTCTGGAAAAATTATTAGGTCTGAAAAAGGATGCGGAGGTACTGAGGTAATCACCATGTTTGTGTGCTTGAGTGATGAGATTATACTTCACAGAGTACACATCAACATATGTTATTGTTGCTAGAGGAAGTTCTGTCCTGAGTGAATCCACTGCTTGCTTCAACCTGGCATTGAAGGACTGAGCCAACTCATTGAAAGGGCTCAAGCAACCTTGTTCATCTTCTGGAGCTTCGAGATGATACCGGTCCATGATGTAGATCAAGCAGCCCAACGGGCCCGTGTTGTGAATCCAAAATGACCTTCCTCCTTCATCGTATACTTTCTGTTTCGGCATAAATCTTTTTACTCATCAAAGTACTTCAGAAATGATTAGAATTGAATATGGAATATTGGCAAGAACTAGATTAGATAAATGGCAGCACCTTTATTGCATCTGAGTAGTGAGTCATCACATCAGGAATGTATGCCTTTATCTGATCAATGGTCATGTTCTGCTTCAATCCAGCTGTGAGATCGTTTTGGCCGATGTCAAACGTGTACAGAGCCCTGGAGAAGTACTCTTCCGGTGGCAATAAGCTCGTGAACACGCCTCCTTTTCGTTAACAGAAGGCACGGCGCATCAAAACAAGAACATCCACATTAGCATCTGAAAATGACAATAGCGATGAGAAGCAATTCGATTGCCAGGTTTATGCAGTCTGCCGTCGAGAATCGGTACCTTGAGACCGAAAGTATTGTGACCTCACGAGAAAGTCAGAGAACTCGTAGAGCTGAACGTTTAATGCGATCGGACTATATCCGCTCTGCGAAAGGGTCATGTTCTGAGGCCGGACCGGTGATCCGGCCGTGGCGAAATTGGCTCCATGACTGAAATTTGAACCAACGGAGTCCAAATATGCACTCAGATGAGGCAATCTCAAATCCTCCGCTGCAAAAAAGAAAGAACACTTTATTTAGCTCACAAATCACCATTAACCCAATAAATTCTGGCTCATTTTTTTTCAGATCAATGATTCTGTAGTGTAATCTGGACATCACATGGCACAAAAAAACATCGAAATCATTTGGACAAACGAATAGATTATCGTGTTTAGTTTTTCATATGGCTATAAATATAAAAAAATGATTTTGTTAACGAGTATCTCATGAGCTCTTGTTAATCAACAAATTAAGAAATTTCAATTGTCAGCACACCGATTTCCCTCGTTTTAGGATTACAATATTTCCAACGCCTCGTACAACATATATATATATATATATATATATATATATATATATATATATATATATGCAACTAATGATTGATATAATCTGTAGTCTACGTTTCTTTTCTTGCTTCTGGGGTCGTCTAAGTGCTCCGTCTCCTATGCTTCGAGCTCCTAAAACGCTCATTAATGTACTAATCTGGGCCATAAAATATTTGTCTTGTCGTAAAGTCAAACCCGAAAGCTTAGAAAAGACTATTTTAAGACGCTTTACAAGCAATTACAGCTTGCTTGGTTTTGCTAAAAAAGGATCTTACATTCCTCAAATTTATTATAATCACAATAATTAAAAGCGAAAGGAATTTTACGATTTAAAAAGTGTACGCATATAATTTAATATTAATACTAGGTTTTATGCTATTGATTAGTTTTATTCGAAAGGAATGCAAAGTTGACTAACTATTCTCGCGCGCATATATCGGCCGGATTACATATGGACAGATCTTACCTACCAGAATATGTTGAATTTGAAAATCTGCCTGAGGTTGGACCGTGAAACTCAGATTCAAATTCAAAAATAATTTGAATAATGGCATCAAACTTTTTTGCAAGCAATCCCTGAAGAAAATTCGGATCTGGGAATTCTTATTCTCGCAAGATCAGTACTTGGGACTCGATGAAACTCAGATTCATTCCAAGGAAAGTGAAGGTTGCGTACCGATGAAGTCGATGAGCAGGCGGCCGTCGCAGTACCGCCCGGACGGCCTGTGGAAGTACGTCTCTCCGTTCGGCGGGGGGGCCTGCCCGAACGCCGCCGACAGCCCGCCTGTGTCGGAATTCGAGTCCCCGAAGTTGAAGATGGACGGGAAATCGCAAGCCGCCGCAGCAGCCGAACAAGCCGGAAATTGACGGAGCAGCAACGCGAGCGCCACCACGGCCATTCGCAGGCCGAAGAAGGCCAGCTCCCTCGAGTCAGCCTCCATTTGTTCAGAGTGCGTGCAAGAGCGTATGTCAGCGAAAGGAAGAGTATATAAATAAGATGACCTGGTAATTTAAAAATGTTTCTTGCAACGACTATTGTTCAATTTGAATGCCGTCCATAAATGTCTGGATGTTCGTGTGATAAATTTATTCCATGTTCACATTATGCACAAACGTATCGACTCAAATGTACACTAGGGGAGATCTCTCTCCGAGACTCCGATCGTGTTTCTCGATTATCGACTAGTGAGATCGTGCAGCTTATGCGAGAGCACCGGGCTTTGTCGATCTATTCAAAATGAAGATGTCGATTATACAAGAGAGTTGTCGATTCGGTGGACAAGTTGTCGATTGGCTACCAAGATTTCGATTTACAAGTTGTCGATTTTGAGACTCCCTATCGACTACCTAATGACTGGAGGCTGTTTAATTTCATCGATTTCTATTGCTGTTTGGAGATCTCCTACAATGATTATTCGGCTTCCAAGGATGGTGCACGAATTTGGGAGAGTCAAAGATCAAGTTTCTATGTCTTTAAATGCATTTCTGGTTTCTAAGTGTTTTAATGCATTTTTTTTTTAATTTCTTAGGACATTAATGTGTTTTCTAGTTCATATGTCTTTAATTAATTAGGTTGTTCACATGTCTTTAATGTTTGTTTATTTCCTATTTATTAGTTCCTCGATATTCCTCCATAAAGAGAGGCAAAATCTCAAATGTAAGATAGAAGATTTCAATATTGAAAATATATGAGATTTGTTTTTGAGTGAGCAAATATCTATCCCGATTTCTGTATCTTTGGAATGTAGATTCTTCTTTGGTGGTGAGCCAAGAAACCCTGTACCTTCGGCTTGCAAAAAAAAAAAAAAAGAGCTTTGGTGGTGAACTTTATCAATCCCGATCTTGATCACTAGCTGGTGGCGTGTCTTGTATGCCTTGGTTCTAATTGTATTCTGTCTGTTGGGGAGAATCGAGCAACAATTCACCAAGAACAAAACCCAATCGATGATCAATATCTCCCCCACAATTGAACCGATCGAAATCGACTTAATCTTAGCAACAACCAACAATATTCCAGCAATTCAACCTTGAAATAATAAGGAGACAAATGCAATAACGACACCAAAATTTAACGTGGAAACCTAATGCGGAAAAAACCACGGACTGCCCCAAAAACTTCCACTAATCACCAAGAATAATAGGATACACCAAGTTCTTCTCTAGTCACACACTAGAGGCACAACATCAACATTACAATATCATTTTCATCACCATGAAGGTGAATTTACATAAAAGGGAGGAGAAAACCCTAACCGTGAATAGAGAGTTCGGAGGAGATTCTCGACGAACGAAATCGATCAACTCGTAGCCCTCAGTCTCACGAACAACGTACTAAAATTTGAGCCAATTCCAACAACGTTTGGCCCTCGAATTGGGACCACAAGCCGCGGCCCCTTTTCTTCTCTCCCGTTCTCTCGTGCTCTCGGTGAGGACTCTCTGTTTTTCTCTCTCTTTTGTGGGCACACACTTCACGCACGAAGCACTTCTTTTCGTTCTTTTCTTTTTTTGACTTTTGTTTCTTTTATCTTTTATTTTATTTTATGCTAGCTCGGCCCCACATAAGGTGGACCCAGTCAACACTATCACGTATGTTTATTCCCATACACTCTGACCTCTCCGTTTTCTTATCCATAATCACTCAAAACAACACTCGTCCGCCCTCGCTCACCCATCATCGGTGATGTCCGACGTGGCATCGCTCATCCAATTAAAACATCATCTTGCCGAACGCGCGTCCGAAAATCAGGTGCCCTGTGAAGCACAGATACGCAGAGTCGCACCTTTCTTGTGCCCTGCTTGCATGCGATGGTAGGAAAAACTGAAGTCCTAAGCTTGTAGATGCTTTTTCATGTATGAATAGGCTTGTAACACAAGACGATGCTGGAATTCGATGTCGGAAATGTACCTCCTAGTTTGCATTCCCGCAAATCACAAACTGAAAACAGCGAAAAAGTAGTTCTGGAAAAAGACAACAGAACAAGTTTGGCAAGAGAGGATCATGTTCATGTCCGCTTCAGGATGGAGGCAACCTCAGGCAAGCCGAGCTCAATGGAACAGGTGGGTCAGAGAACAAGCCACTCCTGATGTGTTCAAAGATCTGCCTGTTAGCTGCCTCAGTGAAATGCACTCCATCCCAATTCACATGAAGTGCCGGATTTTCGCAGGACTTCGCCACCATCACTTCCTCCCCGTCCACCATCGCCGTCGCGCCGCATCCCATGTGAATGTCATAGTTGTACCTTCCTCCATGGCCGCAGCAAGTCCTCAGCGGATGCTTGAAACCTGCATATATAATTCGCAGGAAACGGTTTCATCCTAGATTCTTGTAGTCTGATCTAACACTACGTCAATACAACGTATTAGATATTTGAAAACCACTAAGGGAGTACACTAACCGTATTTCTCGGGATGGCTAATCAGGGAGTATTTGACAGAGTAGACGTCGACATACGTGATCGCTGCCTGAGGCAACTCCTGCCTCAACTGCATCACAACTTCCTTTAGCCCGCGGTTGAAATCCTGAGCCACTTCGTTGAAAGGGGACGCGCAGCCGGCGGGGTCCACTTGTGATGCCAGGATGGGTACCCGCTCCATCACATATGGTAGGCAACCGACCGGGCCCGTGTTGTGAATCCAAAGGAACCTGCCGCCTTGGCTGTATACGTACTGCACATACAGGGTAGTTTTAACTAGGAAGAGGAAAATTACAACCATGTTGGATATCCATTCACATGATTCGAGGTACGGGAAGTGTTTCAGGTTCAGGTACGAACCGAGACAATGTTCTTGAACTGCCCTAGGACATCGGGAATGTATGCTCTCACTTCCGAGGTAGACATGTTCATGAAGTACCCGGCTGTGAGGTCATTCTGGCCGATATCAAAGGTATACAGAGCCTCAGAGAAAACTTCTGCCTTGGGCAACAGCTTCTCAAAGACCTCTCCTATATTCAACAGTCTCATTTACATGATTATGAATGAACACATCGGCACCGTGTTGGTTACAAATGCTAAAAGGGCAAGGAATGGATTGATGATTGTACCTTTTTGACGAGCCACTGGAGTTCGGTTACGAAACTCATAGAACTCGTTGTACTGAACGTCGAGAGAGATGGGGCTGAACCCCGACTGTTGAAGGGTCGTGTTCTGAGGCCGAATGGTGGAACCTGCAGTCGCAAAGTTGGCTCCGTGGCTGAAGTTGGATCCCACCGAGTTGAGGTACGCACTCAGATACGGTAATCCCAAGTTCTCAGCTGTGAAAGACATAAACAATCGAGTCTTTTAGTATCTCTATTATTACTCGATTGGCTGATTAAGCTGATATACATCTCGCAGTTGGATAGAATCTAGACGCTGCTAAAAAATATGATCGATGACTAATCATAAAGACACAAACCGGAGCTATTACAATGACATTCCAGGGAAAAAGTACTATGCTTTATGATTCTTAGGATCGGTAAATTCTCAATTTGACACAGGAAAAAATGAAGTCAATTTAAATCTTCCAAGATCGCAAGTCGCTACTTTTCTTGAGCCTTGCCTTGGGGACCAATTACTTCATGTATTTACATACATAAGTGTCCCTAGAAATTTCAGCATCCTGGACATTGATCTTATGGGCTAACGTCAGATAACATCTTTGTCTTTGTTCAGATGTTTGAGTACCTCTAGTGTTCGGTGTTGAATGTCACCAGCAACAGAATAGCTTCGGACGTATAGAAGAAGCAGAATTCACGAGAAAATGAAGCTCATATCAGTAAAATCAAGTGTTACCTATGAAGTCTACCAGGACGCGGCCATCGGTGTACCTCCCGGCAGGGCTGTGGAAGTAGGTCTCGCCTTCAGGCCACGGAGCCTGGCCAAACACAGCCGACAGGCCGCCGGTGTCCAAGTTTGAGTCCCCGAAATTAAACATCGCCGGGAAATCGCAGGATGCTCGAGCCGCACACGCCAATCGACACAGCAACAGCACCGTGAAGAAGCAGGAAAAACATTTGGCCTCCATTTTTGTGAGAGAAACTTGAAGCGAGTTGAGTGAAACCTCATAGAAGTTGAGGCCTTTATAGGTGATAACAAGTCCAAAACTGACGGAGTACTGGATGGGATACGATCATTAAAGTTGTTTGTTTGGATGAGGTCAGAAATGTGTAGTTTTTACTGTTTCATTTTTTTTATGAATATTTGCTGAAATTTGAAGTTATTTACTCCATGGTAGAATCTCATCAGATCTTTTTTCTGGTCTAGTTCTCCTCCCCGGATAGATTCCCAACCTTTCAAGAGTGGTTAGACAGAGTCAAAAAATTTTCTCAGCAATACAGGGCCATTTGCACAAGACATTAGATTATTTCTATGGACCAAGTTAGTAATCTTAAGCTTAGATATATGCAAGAAAATGATTGCATTTTCAAGTGTAATCTAAGATAAAATTCATGTTTAATTTCACGCTTTCTTCTTAGGTTACTTTGCGGATGAGTTTTGCTGATAAGATTTTAGTATGTCTAACATTGTCCTCGTAACTTTTCTTGTAACAAAAGACGTGTGAGGATACGGCATTTTCGAGTATAATCTAAGATAAGACATTAGATATGACATTAGATTATTTCTATGGACCAAGTTAGTAATCTTAATCTTAGATATATGCAAGAAAATGATTGCATTTTCGAGTGTAATCTAAGATAAAATTCATCTCGATTTCACGCTTTCTTATTAGATTACTTAGCGGACGAGTTTCGCTAATAAGATTTTAGCATGTCTAACATTGTCCTCGTAACTTTTCTTGTAACAAAAGACGCGTGAGGATACAGCATTTTAGCGCGGCGCCTAATGTGCTGCGGCAACTGTTAATTTGTGTGCTTCCTAGTTCCTAACTCATGCTAAACTCCACCATTGACTTGAAAGTCCAGCTTGGACTAGATTTGGTCATTTTGCTGTCAGTCATATTATTCAATCTCTCTCTTGTAGATTTTCATTTGATCCTTTTCGTCTTTAAGAGAAATGACAGAAAAGAAAGAGAGAGAGATAGCAAAATCTGATCCCCATTCAAATTTGCAAATTGAGCAGCTAAGACATGGGATCAAAGGGCAAACAAAAAAGAATCTAGCAAGGTGAACTCGATTCAAAGTGTGACTCACTGAGAGGGAATCCTATGACAAGCCTTGTTCAATGGAACAGGCGGGTCAGAAAATGAACCGCCCACGATGTGATCAAAGATCTGTTTGTTGGCTGCTTCAGTGTAATGGACACCATCCCAGTTCACATGAACTGATGGGTCTTCACATGATTTTCCCACCAACACCTCCTTCCCGCCGACCGTGATCTTCGCACCGCAGCCCATGTGGATGTTGTAGTTATACTTCCCTCCGTGGCCACAACACGTTCTCAATGGATGCTTGAACCCTGCATTGTTGGTGACAGACATTAGTTGTTGATCAGAATCGGTCAATACCAGATGATTTGTGGGTTACTTGACACTTACCGTACTTCTTGGGCTGGCTACTCAGGGCGTATTTGATCGCGTAAACGTCCACGTAGGTGATGGCAGCTAACGGCAGCTCCTTCCTCAATTGGGTCACAACTTTCTTCAATCCGTGGTTGAAAACTCGTGCCACTTCGTTGAATGGGGATGCACAGCCCGCTCGGTCAACTTGCGACGCTAAGATCGGGATCCGCTCCATCACGTACGGGAGGCAACCAACCGGGCCCGTGTTGTGTATCCAAAAGTACCTCCCTCCTTCGCCATAGAGGTACTGCACCGTGCAGGTACATTCAGTAATTAGAAAATCTCGGACTCAAATGGATAACAAGGTATATCTAGTACTCTGACCTTGACAATGTTCTTGAATTGACCAAGCACATCGGGTATGTATGCCTTTACTTCGCTTGTGGACATGTTGAGGAAATAACCGGCCGTGAGGTCGTTCTGGCCGATGTCGAATGTGTACAGCGCCCGAGAGAAAACTTCTTCCTTGGGCAACAGCTTCTCATAGACCCCACCTTATGCTCGGGAAATGTAATTCAGTGACAGGATCATTTAGAAGTGAAAAAAAGCTATTGCATCATCTAAGATGGCGCTAGTTGTGAGCCATTCGACTCTTGTACAGATGATTTGGTCCTGTTTTAGGACATAAAATTCCATGAGATGAAGATTCTTATACCTCGGCCGCGGGCAACTTGAGATCGGCGGCGGAACTCGTAGAACTCGTTGAACTGAACGTCCAGAGAGATGGGACTGAACCCCGACTGATGGAGAGTCGTGTTCTGTGGCCTAATGGTCGAACCGGCGGTCGCGAAGTTGGCTCCATGACTGAAGTTCGACCCGACCGCATCCAAGTACGCGCTAAGATAGGGCAATCCGAAGCTTTGAGCTGAAAAAAACAGACACATACACGAACACCTTTCATTCCTTCTTCTGGAGAAATCAATTCAATGCTGAATCAACACATTGTGAGTTAGCTGATTGAGGACCCCATATGAATCATCGTTTGATCATGAAACTTCTTTTAACCTATATTGCCAAGAAAAATCCTGAATCCTGTCCAAAAATAGGAAGATAAAAGAAACCCTAGTTCAAATTCTCTGCCAATAATTTCCTCAGGCCCACCATTGACGTGCTCTGCACTCTGCCAATAACATCAATGTCTGCAAGTCAATTTCTGCGACCATGGGGACCAACGGAAACTTCGGATTCGCGCCGGACAAGAGAATCCCGCCCGTGGTTTTTGTGCATCTACTTTGCTCGCACATGCTTGTGTGCTCATTAACTTTGTCCCCACGAGTACTTAATTGATTTTTCTATACGACCCACGTCGCTTTCTGCTAATTTGTTTTTGGCTATATATTCTACTTATGATGGCCTGTTCTACCCGAAAACTGGACTTCATGCCTTTGTTTGGTGTAATCACATAGCATTCACGTTGCGTAAAAGAACCATTATTTAAGTGTCATGAACCCTTCTTTGAATCTTAATCATTCTACAAATGATGTCACATGAGGAACCAATCTGGCACTAATACTATCACGACTTGTTTTCTTAATGAAGGTTTGTCCATCCAGGAAGCAGCCTAATTTTTTAGCAGAGTAAAAAAGAAAACATCACGAGAGACTTGTCAAAGATCTGTACCTATGAAGTCGACCACGAGGCGGCCGTCGGCGTACCGCCCGGCGGGGCTGCGGAAGTAAGTCTCCCCGTGAGGCGGCGGCGCCTGGCCGAACACCGCCGAGAGGCCGCCGGTGTCAGAGTTCGAGTCTCCGAAGTTGAATATCGCCGGGAAGTCGCACGAGGCTCGAGCCAACGTTCCGCACCCGACCAAACTAGACAGCACCAACGCGGCGTAGAAGCCGATCAAACGTTTGGCCTCCATGGCTAGACCCAGCTGAGACCTGAACCAAGAAGAGAGAAAAGAAGAAAAGCTGTGATTTTCTCAAAGGGGGATGAGTGCAAAGTGAAGGAGATGAGACTGAAAAAGGCTAGTACTTTCTATAATGGGGGGGACGATCAATCGTTCACGTGCTGCTCTTTTTGTCACTTTTATGGCAATGATTGCATCGTTTTTGGACGACGATGTAGTTGTGACTTCCTTAGGAGAAGAAATTGTGGTGAAGCTGCGTCTGGATAGTTTTTGTGATTATTTTGCCTTGTCGTCATATTGGTAAAGTTTTTGATTTGGGGGACTGAACGTGGCAATCCGCAAAGGATATGATGCAATTTTATTAGAAGGGATTCTTCTTCGTATGGAATCTTCCGTGATATCAATTAGATGAAGTTCCTCTATTATGATCGGTGTCTCTGTTAACCTTATCCTTTTGACATATATCTATCTTGTAAAAAATGGTAGGATTGACTATGTGCATGACATATATCTATCTTGTGAGGAGCGTTGTGACAATATACTAGAGGAATCGAAATCGGGGCCATAGAGGTTCACGCCTAAAGTATTGTTCATTATGCTAAAATAGGGGCAAAACTATCTATGAAAATCTAACTCATTTTTGGCATGTTCCCAAGGATTGCATGTTTTTGGCAATTCAAGATCACACAAGATTCTTTTTGGGTGTTTTCGAAAGGTGCCATACCGTTTCATATCAAATCTATAGTATGAAAGAATGTTTCAAGAGAATCGAAAGTTAAATGATTTATAAGGACAAAATGCACGTCGTTTCGAGGGACATAAGCTCTTGAGTTGGAATCAGACATCTACTTAAATAACGAACATATATAGTTTTCTAGCAAAAAAATTAAAAAAACGAACATATATAGTTCACTGCCAAAGCACGTGAATAACTTAAATAATTTGGGATCGTACGCATAAATAAATTTCCCAAAAAGGACCACATCACTGTCTTTTAATATATGCGAATAATGATTTAAAAAATGCTCGAGGGACTCTCTGTATTCCAATGTATGATGTCTTGTTCCAATCATTTCCATCTAACCCAAGAGCCCATTTCAGGATAACCTACCAAGACATTTTCTGCTTAGTCTATCGGATTAATGTCTTACCACACTGGAGTTATTTGGGACGCAGCACCGCCAAGACCGTCCCAAAAGCAAGAAAGTCTTAATCTCTTAAGAACAAGAACAACCTAAAACAATCGATCTTCACCATCTTCGAGAAACCGATTCTGGATGGACTTGACTCCATGTGTTTTGGTGGTCTTCGTGATCAGCTTTATGGCTCCTCATCCCCGTGATGATGGCAGGCCTTGCAGATACAAACAGACGATGGTTAGAAGATTGGCTCCTCAAACAAACACCATCCTCTCTTCCATTTCATTTCCTGCCCTTGTGTTGGCGTTTCATACTTTATCCAGAGTCCCACTTTTGGGGGGGCCGGAAAAAGTCATTAATTTTTTTTCCATTTTTCTGGCACGATTATGGAACGGCCCGTCTGAACTTTAGATATAAGCTCAGCAAAATCAGGAGGATACTTGCTCGACGAAGTGATCGGTTTAGGCATCTGAAGAAGCTTTTTGACCTTTCTGAGAAAGATCAAGTTTTTTTTTTTTTTTTTTTTTTTTTTTGTCCCAAAGAAAGATCAAGTTTACTTCTTCTTCTTTTTTATCGAAAGATCAAGTTTACTTACTGACTTGAATTTTGATTCACCGCGGATGGCAGAAACTGAGACTCCATGGCCCAATGGATAAGGCGCTGGTCTACGGAACCAGAGATTCTGGGTTCGATCCCCAGTGGAGTCGATCTTCTTCTTCCATCTCTTTTCGTTCTTTTTGCTTACTTCCCTTTTCTGAATTCGAGTAAAATTGCATTCCCAAATTCCATCTCTTGCCCCATGTCTCAGTTTCACTGGTTGTTTTGTTACCTGAAAGACATCTCATCTGCACCGGAACCTTGACGATTCAGGACTCTTTTGGCCGGTGAGTTCAAATCCGAAGGCACGCCCAGAAGAAGCAAGATGGTCTCAATCGGCCTAGGGCAAACATTTCAATCGGTCCAAAAACAGACCGACACGGGGCCTTCCAGTGATGGTTTTACCTGGACATGGAGCACGAACACTGGAATTGGCAAAGAGTTTCCTATCTACCGTCCCACGATTGAACCGAGAATCTGTAGTCATATAGTCAGTCTATTGCTACTAGGAAAGCCTCACCAAGCTCATCACAGCCTCAAAATCAGGAGGAGAATATACTCAAGACAGGATTCCGCTAGTATTTGCATTTTCCATTCAGAGACTCTTCACCCATGCCCGATTGCTCAAACAAACGTAGCATGTGTGCTGAAATCCTCCCATGTCAAATCGAATCACTATATTCAAATACAAATATGTTCTTCGCAACACCAAACTTCTATTATCTCTTGCGAGAGTGACAGCATAACAGGAGCTGCACACCAAAAAGACCGAATTTCATAACATGACAAGGAAACGTTTAGCGATGAAAGGATTGTCGAATATAAATTGCCAGTCCCCTCGGCAAGCTACAATCAGACTACTGTGTAAAAATCGGTCACATAATAGACTTCCACAGACTTCATTTACCAGAGAATACAGTGTCCTCAACACAGGCAAAAATGAGAATTAGAATCCAAAAAATGCATCTGTCTTCCGCAGCATTAAACAATTCCTGTCCTAGTAACCAGACGAAAGTTTAGATATCAATGCGAAAAAAGCAAAGAAGCAAAACAGTATCTGCTTCAAGTTGTCAAAAGTCGAGAAACCCAGAAAGTCCAACAGCTCTGTTCACCATCTCTCCCTCGACCTTGACCTGGCACGTAAGAGCATCAGGTTATAAGCATTTCAGATTTTTCTCAACTTCTGATACCAAGCTAGATGAACAGACATAGCATTCTTGTAAATCAACATGGCATATAGAGCAACAGCTCAAGTAAAAATTCCACGTACCTTTAGCACATTAAATTACATAAATAAACAGCACAAGAGAGTGAGGAAGAGGGGGAAAATACTCTCGATTAAGTTTCAAAAACTATTCAATGCATCATCTTGACAAATAATGGCAAACAATCACTTGAAGAAAGCGAGAGAAGATTAGCTCAGAGTAATACTCCCATCATCAGTGAATCCACCAAGGCATAACAAATCAGACTTGGATTACATCATGGAAGGTCAAGCTCAAAAAACTCAACCATAAATTGAATTTGTTTGACACTACCTCAAAATTTCATCACATTAACACTGAAATCACATTAAAACTGAACACTACATACCAGATCAACTCTCTAAAGCACCCACCTTGATCAAATACAAACTACATAATTTATTTAAGGAAATTGCCAATCTTTTTGCATTGCATTAATCATGTCTTAAATTTTGAAGCGTGATGTCAAGGGAGTTTCCAGAGAAAGAATACGGTGCTATTTACAAATTTTCTAGATAGTAAAAGATGAGCACGAGTGACCATAATATGCATTCTTTACCTGTCGGAGTCTCTACTGGCCAAAAATCCTCTATCCCTGCCACCTTGAAATGGTCTTCTCTCGTTCCCACCCCTGGACCATCCATCTCCCATGCCACGGGATGGAGGACGATCGTTGTAATCCATACTACGAGACTCATCAATTGACCCAGACCGTGAAGGTGGCCTCTCAGAAAAGCTACCGGACCTGCCATAACCAGAACCAGGCCTATCAACAGATTTCTGCCCAAATCGAACTTTATCGTCCAAATCACGGGTCAAAGCTTCCAGTTGCCTTTCCTTCAGTGATATTGCATCACTCAAACTGGGTTGGTCTCCTTCAGATCCTTGGGAATGTTCATTGTTTGCTTCATGAGCAGGTTCCTTCTCCCTTTCTTTCTTCAAGTTCTCTATCTCGTCCTTCAGCATCTTTTCCTGCTCTGTCTGAGGCCTGAACACCTTACTTGAATTAGATGCCAAGAGTATCCAATTGCATAAACTTTAAGACAAAATATCAGAACCAGTAACTAAAAGTATCAGCATGGCCATGGAAGGGCACCAATTATATACCTAAAAAGCATGTATAAAGGCAACCATATACTGTCTAACTGTCATCAGGAATCTAAAATTGTTAAGAAAATTTAAATTATTGTCCGCGAGAAATTAGCTCGCTTCACAAAGAAAAAGACAACCAAACTACCAACAAGATATGTTCCCCACTAGAGGAGAGCATAAGTTAAAGGAAGTTTAGATGAGCACATGAAAGGCCTTGCGGCAGAACATTATCATGCCACAAATCACATTGACAAAATCTGTCATATTCACCAAATATTAAGTGCTTTTGGATAGAAATGTCTCATTAGTTTAGCTGCTTGCAATGCAAAACAATGCTCTAGCTTTTATCATAGAAATGGAGCTAGTTTTTGCACATAAGAGAACCAGAATAGCTACAATACTACTCCCCATAAATCAAAACAATGACTGCTTCTACTTTGCTTTTCTTTACAGTCCTATCAATCAATCACGGTGTCTACAAAGTAGTGAAGTCTCTATTGCTACAGTTGAGCAACAAACAAACAATGTAGGTAAATGACAGGGAAAATGCATAAGTTGTTCTCTCATCCTTAACATTGAACAGTCCAAAAATAAAAGGTGTGTCTGCCTATCCAGGCATAGACTTCACGACAGTTGCAATCAAGGGCATCTTAAAATATTTCGGATTCATTAAATCACCTCGGTAAGCTAAAAGACCCTATTCTCTCCCCATTATTATCTGGTCAACCAACAAAAGATGGACATGACCTGCAGAAATCTTCCAATGAACAAGAACAACCTGGTGAGATAGTTATGTGGCTCTGACAGAATTTGGTGCTCATTGGAATCATCATTTAGTAGCATGAATACTTGAAAAGCAAAATAGTGCAAAAGGGACCTCAAGATCAAGAGATCAATGAAAGCTAAAAAAAACTCCATCTTCAGTGCAGGAACATTATGTGTCGGCTACTTATAACAGTGTATATACTTCTTCCGGAAGGGAATGTTATATTCTGAAAACCCACACGTCAAACTCTATTTAAAATATAGCATTCTTATCTCAATGAAACATTATCCCAACTAGCTGCAAAATAACTCTTTCCTCAAATTCTTACATAATTTGGTTGTGAAACAGCAATGTTTTCTTTGGCGACTGAAAATTTTACTCTAACAAGATCAAACATTGCTGCCTCGTGAAAAGAGAACTCAATGGATTAGTTCTCACAAGTTCTCTTGCAGGAAATGGACCAATCTTGTCCACTTCCCCTCCATCAAATCACAGTTCATGAAATGTTCAGCGAAACGGCAACAAGGCGACGAGGCAGAAAACAACCAAACCACGCAGCCAATTAGCATGTAGCAGAGCAATTCAATCTTAATAGCTTTTCCAAGGCACTGGCTAGGTACGCTTCTACACTACTTTTCCACCTTCAAATCACTGTAAAAAGTACAATAATCTTTAAGAGTTTTTCTCTTCACGGATTCATGCTATCAGGATACTATTATGTCCACCACATATCACAAAAATCCTAAAGCACCGTCAGAAAACTCAAGACCAACCCAATGCCATCCACTTCAAGCATCAGATGTGGAAGGTACATATGAACAGTAAATCACCACCAATCACATCCACTAGTCTGATGCACCACCTAGTACCTCCACTATGGAGTCATCAATTAACAAAGGACGCAAACCAGGATACGCAGTCAAGGATTTCAGACATAAAGTTTTCTTAGTAAAGGACACTACTAGCCAGTTGCATTTTCACAAGCATTCAAAGACCATATAGCATCAGATAAATTAGGATTGGATTGACAAACCTATCAACACTGCGATGCTCCAACTCAAAATCAAGTTTGCGCCAGTCCATCCCTTTCTGCTCTAGCAACACTTCCCTAGGCTTGGCCTCTCCAAAAGGATTAACTTTTGGCCTTGGCCTGGCCACATTCTCAATACCCTGCAGCACTTGACTCTCAGACCGGCTCGACTGCGCACTCGATGGCCTGCTTGAGTGTGCACTTGTGGGTCTGCTTGTCTTCTTGGCCTCAATTTCTGATTCCAGCTTCCTGTAATCTAAACCCTTCTCAGCCAAGACTTCCTCTCGCGGCCGGGCTGCTCCGAACGGACTCGCCCTAGAAGATTTCGCCACTTCATTTCCCACCGAATCACCCTTAGGCGGATCCAACACCAATTTAGGGCGCTCTGTGTTAAATCCCCCTCCTCCACCACCTCTGTTCCAGCGGTCAGGCTCCGTCCCAGAATCACGGAAACCCGAGCCGAAGGATCTCGAAGGAGGTGGTGGTTGCGGCTTCTTCCCCGCTGCCCAATTATCAACGTCATCAGCTCTAGAGCCACCTCCAAGAGAATCATACCTGGTTTGCCTCGTGGAATCGAGCGAAGGCAGAGATTTCTTCGTCATTGCCCAATTATCAACCTCATCAGCACGAGATGGCTGGTCAAATTCCGAAACCCTAGAAGGCGGAGGCCCGTGGCGATCATCCTCGAAGCCACCGTAGGATCTCCGACCGCCCCCACTGCCCCCGCCGCCGCCGCCCCAGGAAGTATCCCCATCCTCGCGGTTCCGGTTCGGCGGCGCACCGGACCTCCCATACGAAGAGAACCCGCCCCCGAGCCGGCCGTACTGCATCTCCTCCGCGGAGCGCTCCTTGGGGCCCGTGGGCAGGCGCATCATTTCGTCGTGGGTCAACCCCTTGTAACCACCCCCGCCTCCGGCGCCGGAACCGCCGGAGCCGACGGAGCTGCCGGTGATGAACGCATTCAGCGGCACCGACATCTTCTTCTTCTTCGGCTTGGCGCTGACGGACTCCCTGAGGCTGGGGTAGTTCTGTGGCTCGGCCCTCGCGGGGGCCGCCGCCGCCTCCGCCGCCGCGGCCTCGCGCTCCTCGGCCTCGGCTTGCTCGGCCTCGGCGGCCCAGGCGCCGATGTTGCCCCAGGGTTTGGACATTCTCGCGGCTCGAGATCTGGAGATGGAATTCGAGAGCGGGGGTTCGGAATCGGGGAACCGGAGAACGGGAGGGAGGGAGATCTCGGCGATCCTTTCCGGCGGCGGGCGATGGGCCGGCGAACCGAGCTGGAGCTCCGTCAATGGAGCCGGAGCTCCGAGGACACGAAGGGTATCGGAAGGGTTTTTCTCGGCGGTGCGGTCTCTCGCCTGATGATGATGATGGGTGCGAATCGCGACGGGGCGCAGATGATTTCCTTTTCGTTTTTTTTTCTTTTCACCTTTTTAGTGTGGGAAGAACCGGCCGAAGGAAAAAAAAACAAAAAACAAAAAAATAATAATAAATAATAAATAACAAATAATAAAATGGGAATCTGCCTTCCTCGCTTTCCAAAAGGTTCGGATCAATTTCGTTCCATTTAAATTGGGAAGCAAAAATTGGAATACTGCACGTTATTCAACGAACAAAAGAGGGAAGATCTTATTTATCGAGGAGAAAATTGAACTTGACCCCAAAACAAAAAAAAACAAGAAAATTGAGGATCGACTTATAAAAAAAATATATTAAATTGAAAAGAAATTGTTGAGCAAAGGCAGAAATTGAATGGTATCTTTGGATCTTCAATTCGATGGGGGATGTCTATCGATGTTTCTTCCCATTCCTATTCTTTCTCCACCTCAATTGTCACGAGGTATTATGGAGTTGTAAATGTAATCTTATTCACAAATCTCACCATTACCACCCCCTTAACTACTTCACTAAGATTTAATTTTCGATTCGAGGGCCCCGACAACAACTTACAACATGAACTTCAAAACTCAAAAGCCGGCTTTATATATGGAGTGACGATATACTTTTTTTTTTATCAAATTTTCTCTAAAATATCTCAATCTAAATTGTCGTCAATGTGCTCGTCGTTCTCAACTACAATCTTGAACATGAGAGAAATTGATTTCAACTAAGATACGGGTTTGTATCCGAATCCGGCAAATTTCATGTTTGGATCCCCGAGGAACATTGGAGGCCAATGCGCGTTATCTCGTGAGGTGATATCTTAGATGTAATTGTTTGCATGTACAGTAAGGGATTAATTGACATGAACACCTAGATTATCATATCACTACTATAAGAGAAATACTTAAGTGCAGAAAAAAATTTGACACCCGTATTCAAAGTGTAGTCAGTCAAGTTCCGAAATTTAAAGAGGGAAGGTGCAATCTAAAGACTTGCATTAATCTTATCTGAATTGAGTGATGAAAGAGCACGAGATGTGGCTCGTGTTGACATTGTGGCTCAGACGGAGTTGCAAAGCCTTTCTCAAGCTAGCAACGAGTGCTGGCGGGCCCTTGATTGAGGTTGGGGGTCACGCGATCCTAGAAGCCTGCCACCAGCGTCCCTAGGATCCAACGATCATCCTTTAGCTGCCTCTCTCTATCTCTCACTGACTCAACTACACATCAGCCCCGTGTGTTCAGCCACACGGGCAATTTAGCAATAAGAATTACCAAAAAAAAAAGTCATAATAAATATATTGTATTATATCAATTGAATCCTAAACATTTTCATGATTTGTCAATTGAGTCCATCCATCCATTTTTTCCGGAAATCGCTGATATGGACACAACTAGCAAACATGATCGTAACCCAGATATGAGCAAGGCCATTGTGGCTAAGCCATCATCGATATGGAGTTGAATGCATCCAAGAGAACGAAAGTTGAAAGTTTTGGTGAGGATCTTTCGTGTTAGCCCATATTACTCCAACACGACCGAAAAGAAAGAGGAAAAAAGGAAGAGTCGAACAATTGGACTCTCTTGAAGCAGCAGGACCCGCAGTCGGCGCACGAAGAGTCAAGCCAACGACAAAACATCTCTAACGCGTTGGATCGTCCGACCATGTCATGTCTCTCACACCCCCCCCCCCCCCCACCTCTTGGACACGCTCACGGGCCAACAAAGTAGTTTCTCCTGCGCTTTTCGAATTTCCGTAACAAGTCAATGGCCCGTCCTTTTTTGGGTCTGTCAATGGCCCGTTCAATAACGCATTTTTTTCGTGGACGAGGGATGATATTCGTCGTGGCTTTTTATCGCCTCATCATCATATCCTCCAAAGTCCCCCAAAAGAGAATAGCGTGTGTGAACAAGTAGACGAGAGCCCCCGTCTCTTCTCCAAAGTCAGAGGGAAGCTGTTCTGCGCACGGCTGAGACTTTCTTGGCCAACATCCTAGTCGTCGTCCTCCTACTACTGCTAGTATTAGTTGCCAATTGTCTGCATAGAGCCCGCCATTGTCCAGAGCTTCTCTCTCTCTGTGTAAAGAATCATGAAGTCTCAGTTCCTCATCGCTTTGGTTTTGGTTCTCCTTCGCTCGCTCATGTCATGCCATGGAGGAGTGCTCCTCTCCACACTCCCGAGAACCATCCTGGTCTCTGCTTCTCCTCAGCCTGGACAAGGTAGTTTGTTAACATCTCTTCTCCCCTTTTCTTGTTTCACTTTTCCTTTTCAGTAGGGCGAATCTCGCCGCCGGAGCTCCAGCTCGATGACCCGAGTTGATCGGATCGTAACCTGTACGCCGACTTTACAGATCGACGCCACCCTCGGTTGGAAAGATTCGGAGAGAAAGAAAGGAAATTGATTCGTTGATTCTTCAATCCATCTTTCTTGATTTCTCTCTCTCTCTCTCTCTCTCTCTCTCTCTTTCTCTCTGCAGTTCTCAAAGCAGGAGAGGACACGATGACAGTCAAGTGGAGCTTCAACCAAAGCGTCCTCACGTCACAGGAAAACGAGACGTACAAGACCATAAAGGCCACTTTGTGTTACGCTCCCGTGAGCCAAGACGACCGTGCGTGGAGGAAAACGTTCAACGATCTCAGCAAGGACAAGACCTGCCAATTCACCATCGTGGAAGAACCTTACGCTGCCGCCGACGCCAACAACGCCTCGGCTCGCAGCTTCGAGTGGACGATACAGAAGTACGTGCCCACGGCGACCTACTTCGTGAGGGCGTACGCCTACGACTCCGACGGCATCGAGAAGGCTTACGGTCAGACCACGGACGAGAAGAAGACCGCCGACTTGTTCCGGATCGAGTCCATCAGCGGCCGCCACGCCTCGCTCGAGATCGCCGCCGGTTGCTTTTCCGCCTTCGCCTTGGCGTCCTTGTTCGGGCTGTTCTGGGCGGAGAAAGCCAAGAAGAAGTGATTTTTCAGATGATTTGCGAGGTTCTATCAACACGTATCTCGTGTATCGATTTGCCGAAGCGATCATCTTGTTCAGGAAAGAAAGAAAAAAAATCAATGGCGTTATCTTACGACTCGACGTTGGTCTTTGCCATAGAAAAGTCCATGTTCCCAATAACTAGGGGCACCGGCGATTCCTTCAACCGCGAGTAAGGTATATAGCCTAAAGATTGAAGACCGAAATAGATGAAAGAGGGTTTTATTTGAGAAAAGTAGACTATCTAATTTTTTTTAAAGGGTTAACGCGAAAAATCTCAAACCGGTACATTTATGACAATTTTAATCTCCGTTAAATTTTATCATTAAATTTCTGAGTTGGATGACATGTGACAGTTGGCGGGTGTACCGGTTTGGGGTTTTATTCTCCGTTTGCCATAGGTATACTAGTTTGTGATTTTTCGTATTATCAATTCAATTTAACGGAGGGTAAATTTGTCATAAAATATACAAGTTTGGGGTTATTGGTGGTCAAAAAATTAGTTTGGGGCAAATTTGTCACAGGTGTATGAGTTTGGGGTTTTTCATGGTCAAAAAATTAATTTTGGTTAAATTTATCACATATGTATCAGTGTGAAGTTTTTTGTAGTAGTAATCCTTTCTTACGAGGCATAGCAAAAAATATGCTTTTTTTGGGTCTTGGAGTTTGATAACTCCATAAGTTCTTGCCAAATAAAAAACTCCCTAAGTAGGCGATGAAATAATGATTGATATTGGATATTTCTTTAGACAGCTATAGTATAGTAAACTTGTTTTAATGATTATATCTAATGTATGTAACAAAGTTACTATATTCCAGCAAAAGAAAACACGGGTATTAAGAATTTGGGCAAACTTCACAGCTTCTGTGGAATCATGAGCAATTTAAGTTCCCTTTATTGAAAGATCAACCTTAATCATAGAAAAATACCTGTAAGTATAATTCTGCTGGAGTTTATATAAAGGACTTGAGTTGGATTTATTTTTTGGACCCGTGTTCTTCGCTACTCTTCAGGGGAATTACTCAAAACACTCCTTGAACTTTTGGAACAATACATGTTTCGATAAAAGTTTTAACAATTGCACATTACTCCACAAAATTTTACTATGTTGGCACCGCCTTTAACCCTCGATTATATTTTCCGTTAACATGCAATGTATATGGCTTCAATACTAAAAGTATATTTTCCGCTTTTTAAGGAACTGTCTTTTTTATCCTTGGTTTTTATAACAAATGATAAGATAAAGGAGATGGAGAAAACTATATTAACTAAAATAATTGATGAATACATTAATAGAACTAATGAGATGTTTTTAAAAAAAAAGAAACTCAATTTAGTAAAATGGCAAGAGGCCTGAATAACAAAAACTCTCAAATTACAAAAGTTGGATACTCAATACGTACTTTTACGCTATTAGTTAATGTAAAAGAAAATGATTGATCAGTAAAAACACTTGAAAACATCACTTGGGATTTCGCTTAATCATTTCCTTTTATGAGTTGAGGATACCATTTCCTTTTACGGCCTTTTTTTTAGACTTCTTTATTAATCAATAAGCTTTTACATTAATTAACGCTTCAGATATATACATCCCGAGCACTTATCTTCTGTCATTTCAGTTCTTGCTGTCGAGGCCTTCTTTATTTAATTTGCTTTCATTTTTTTTTGAAATATCGTATTTAGCTCTATTAAAGCGTAGATATTTATCAAATTCCAACAAATTTTGATTTTTAAATAATATTATCGGTACTTAATTTTCAATCATTAGTACTTTAGTTAATCTCCGTTTCTCCCATTTTATATATTTCTACATTTTTACCGTAATTAAGGGTAACATAGAGATATCGTCCAAAAGAATGAGATGAAAATATATTTTCCATCATTAAAGTTATATGTATCTATACATGCTGATAGAAAAAGATAAAGGGGATGGGGGGGGGGGGGGGAGATAACGGTGATAACAAAAAAAAAATTGAGGGACTATTGCGTAATAATTGAAAGTTCGAAAGCAAACGTGTAATTCCCCAAAGTTCACGGGGCATTGCGTAATTTCTCCGAAGATTTCCTTGGCCGACTTCCCCCTTTTTTTTTATTTTTTTTTATCCCGTATTTGTGATGTTGAATGGCGACGGCGAGATCGCATCGAGGATCGCTCACAGACCCACGCGCGCCACTTCGCTGTTAGTGTCACACGCGCGCCCCAGAATTTCACCCAAAATTGGACACCCGAGCGAGGCAAAACCCTAGGAGAAAATGAACCACCTCGCGAGACGGGCGTCGGCCATCCTCCGGCGGCCGGGCTGGGCTACCCCCTCCTCCGCCGACCCGCTGAGCGGCGGCCGCCGCCAGAGCCACCACCAGCAGCAGTGGCGAGGGATCCGGGTGAAGGTCCTCAACGGCAACCTGGAGCAGGCCCTCGGCTTCATGCAGCGCACGATGCAGTCGAGCGGGATCGAGCGCCTGATCAAGCGCGAGCAGACGCACCACCTCAAGAACTCCGAGAAGCGCGTCCTGGCACGCAAGAGCCTCGAGCGCAGGATCCGGTCCCAGGACCTCGCCCGCAAGCTCAAGGCCATCCTCATCAAGAAAGTCAGGTGAAGATTTCCCCCCCTCTTCCTCTTTGTTGAAGGCCGATCGGTGAGGCGGTCTTCGATGCGCCATGTTTGCCTCCGTTCCTTTTGCATCGGATAGCACTTGGGGGATGGTGGGGGAGGAGATGGAGCGATCTGAAAGTGTTCGTTCGCGATGCTTTCGAATAGTTTAATCACTCTAAGCTTAGGATGCTTATACGCCGATGCGCATTGTTTTCTGTCGACGTTGCATGAAATGATGCTGCAGGATTGGTTGTAGGAGTCCAAGCTGATTGCGGTTTTGGCTCACTGGTAAGATTTGACTGCTGGAGAAAATATACATAGTGGGAGAGGAATTGCTTGTTTGAGAGCCCAAATCCGATGAGAAATCATCACTTGGTCGCGTCGCCGGCCTTTACTCTCGCCCAATTAGCAGCTTTGACAAATGCTCCGAGTTACCTTTGCATATGAATTTTGAGCTCGTCGATGGCTCTTATGTAAACGCAAATTACATTGCTTACATTGCTTACCTTACTAGTGGAAATTAACTAAACAAATTAAATATTCCTCAAAAAATTTACGGCCCCGGTAATGTAAGGTACTGTTGTTGATCGTATGTAGCTGACTGAAAGTAAAAGCCTGGATAACGCCTTGTTCAGTTCATGATTTCGTCAGTTTGATATGCGTAGCTTATACTAGTGTCTGTATGTGATAGTCGAGTTGGCTGCTGGCTTTTTGGCAAGTGCTGTTACGTGCGGTTTTTGGGCACCTCGCCAAAACTATCATTCACTGGACATCAAGTTCTCACTTAGTAAATAAATTGTGAGATTTTGAAAGGGCTGAAGGCGATAATTTGCTATGAATTGAGTCGAACAAAGGAGCAGCTTCTTGTCTTTAGTCCATGACGAGGATGTATTGCATATGTTCTTCTACAATGGTCCTGCTCACTCAGTTTTTAAGCCAAGGACGATGCTCCCCATCAGAAGGATTGGAGAAAGGATTTTGTTGTCCGAGCTGAGGATTGTTTTTTCCATTATTCAATGTTTTTTGGCCATTCTGTAGTTAATCCTGTGATGTCCTTTTGTTTCTTCTACCTGTCAGTAAAGGCGATCTCTCGTCTGTCTGATTTGTGTGTCTCCATCGCCTTCACATGTTTGCGAATCTCATGTTTGCATTTTACGTTGCTTGCTAACTGTTGTTGATTGTGTTGTTGCAGGGGTCTATAGGAGTGGTTATGCAGCAGTTTGTTACCATACATGAGGACTTAATTTTCAGAGTTTCCGCTACATGTAGAGATCTCTTCCATTAAAGAATTCTGTGAAAGAACATTTTTGTTACAGTATCGTCAGCAATGAAATGTTTATTCGATGGAATGTTGGATTTGTTGCTTGATATGCATGTCTCGTTCTTGTGGTTGTGTGGACTATTCATAAGCGGCGGTTTCTTCACGATGTGAGGATTTGTTTTGACTGATGAATTCGCCATCAGTAACCCGGCATTGGAAGTAAGAAATGCATCTTAATATGCCTTAGGACTATTTCAGCCCACTTCCAGAAATTTAGGCAACCTTTTAAGTTTTTGATGCTCGGCTCGTATTTAATGCGCCAATGAAGGAATGGAAGCAAGAAATCCATCTTCACTTAACAGAATTGCTGCAGGATTTCTTACATGAGTCATGGAGTTCATTGAAATTGCGAAGTTTCCAAAACAGAAACTTTTTCTTGTTCCTAATTCGTAGGGCATATCAAGTTGTAGATAATCTGTCTCAAATCTCAGAACAATTGCTTCCCGGCTGTCTATTCGTCATGTAAGTGCTGCATTATTCTACTTGCTAGGGTTTGGCTTTTGCTTCAAAACTTTTCATGGCAGGTTTCTAACCTCAGCAGAACAAAGACTTACTGACAAATCTAGTTTCTATTTGACTAGGATGGCGTAATGTAGAATTCTAATACTTGTTCTAAAGTCGTTTCGTCTTATCTCTGTCTCTGTCTTAAGCTCGAGGAGATTTGATTTTATCGTTTTTTTCTTTTGGTAAGAACATCATTTCATTACGAGCAAAAAGCAAATACCATCCAATGTATACTAGGCTCTATTCAAATCCGAAATATAGACAGACGTAACTTCATTAGATAGGCCATCAGCCTGTTGATCCCGAACTCGGCCATTTGATCTTGTAAGGGCTAGTGCGAAGGGTACTTACTTTTCCAACCATGCTCTAGATATCGTCGACATGAGCCTACTATTTGCTTGCGAAACGAAAACCATCAACTGCAAAGTCTCCGTTCACCCTGGTGCAAGCCATAAAGCATTTCCCAGTTCATACTGGAACACCGGTCCAACACATTTGCGACATGACCTGAAGCTCAACTCAAAGAAATGGCAGCACTTTTGGCACAAGATACTTTACGAACCTTGATACACACGAACTGTAGAAGAAAAAAAGTGCTCTCAAATAGCTTGATTAACTCTAAATTCGATTTATCCCCAATTGCTCAGTTACATGAAACTATTTAGTTCTACTTTATTATAAGTGTACAGCAGGCTTGTTTTCTATACATGACTTTGTATATTAACAGCTTCCGTCCCTCCCAAATCATCGCACAAGCAGCATCACTTGCACTGCCAGGGATGCCAAAAGATGCTCTCAAGTCTTGAAACATTACCTCCAATAGATGTAGGGGATTGCATAACCGAGTCTGCGATGGTCATGAATGAATACGTCAATCTTGGTTGCATATCCGTTCTGCTGATGAAAGACACGGGGTTCTTCTCTTACCATCTGTAAGTGCATTATGTATTATACTGTGACATCACCGGTCTCTCAGCATTTGGGCAAAATCCATTTGAACGGAAGGATCAGTTACCCACTGTGCAACCGCAGAACATCAAGAACTGCTCAACCTTAGATCCTCGTACCTTCTGCACATATCATATGTCTTTGGATGTTAAGATCAGGCATCTTGTACAACGTCATCGATCAAAACAAAATTCCAGCACATGCCAGCAATACCCAAGCACACGGGGAGAGAGAGAGAGAGACAGAATGACAAAAATCCACTAATCATATATTATTAATGCCTAAGAAAACATCTTTTCCATATATTTCGCTATATTTTCTTTTCTTATCCAACCATATATTTCAGTATAAAAATGCAGAATTCTGGACTTCAAAATGCGTTTACGTTACGAAACTGCCATTTTTCCCTGTTAGTCATGGGTCAGCTCAAACTCAAACAAGTACCAGGACAAAAAGCTGAGAAATAAAGTCCAGCATCTTGTCTAAATGTTACAACACGGAATCGTTTCTTGACTTCACTAGTCCCTCAATATTTTCAAATTAATGTAACTGCAGAATTTGCACTTGCTAGACCCGGAAAAGGAATGATTTTTTCTGCAGCCCCAACTTACCTTTGCTGCACCCTGCTAAATACTCAATTACAGAGAATTTCATCGTAATGGCTACTGATAACTGTCCTAACAACGTACAAATCAGTCCAAAAAGAAGCAACACATATCCCCACTTTCTTTAGATGGGATTTAATTTGTAAACGTGAGCAGGCCACTTCGTTCATCTTTGAACCAAGCAGACGAACACGTGAAATGAAATATTTTAAATCCAACTTGCGATCCTTGACCATAGCAAGTTAGCAACTAAACTGGCTGAACTATCCTCTTGATTCGTTGCCAGTTAGTAACAATTCAAGACCCCAAAATAGTCTCCCATCGTCAATCATTCTGAAAGAAGCAATATCACAACACTGCATTTATTTCTTAAACCAAAGCAACCATGCATTAAAGACATCAGTTCATGATCTTGATTCTTGCGTAGTCATGCAAGGTGAGGCCAGAAAACCTAAAGCATTTAAATTCTCATCATGAGGGTAAGCTAAGATATTGGAAGACCCAAATATATGTCAATCATATAAGATCTCTCCCTAACTTAATTCAATTCGAGTAAATGATAACATGGCAAGATACACACAATCACACAGGCACAAGAGAGAGAGAGAGAGAGAGAGAGAGAGAGAGAGAGAGAGAGAGAGAGAGAGAGAGAGAGAGAGAGAGAGAGAGAGATACCTATGCAGGGGAATTCCCTATTCCCTGTCAACCGTCGCTTCAACTTCATTTTCCAACTCCATGCCAGCCTTCATGGAGTCAGCATCTGACATGAGCACTTCTGTATATCCTTCATGGCCTTCAGTATCTGCTTCACTGCATTCGCTGTCTTCCATGAGGCTGTCATCTAAAGAAAACGACCGTGACCTTACCAAATTTCTGCGAACACGAGGTGGTTCATCTACTGAGGGCAACATCATTCTAGGAGGAGGATTGCTTCCTCTGCGCTCAGCTATTGATGGAGAGGCCCCTTTACAGGGCAAAGAAGCATTGGTGGCCCTCAAGGCCAGAGTAGCAGAACAGGGCTCTCTAGGTGAAGGTGGAGTCTCTTTATACGGTAAACAAGAATTGATCAGCAAAGGAACATGCTTAACAGAAAAAGGATCCGTTTGTTCCAAACCGGAAGGTGAAGGTTGCCGGGAAGAAAAATATGACAAGTCAGACCAATTAGAGGAAGAGGGTGAAAAGGTAAATGAACTAGCATAATCAGAGGTTGAAGGTGATAGTGCAGGGGACTTAGAGCTCATGATAGGGCTGTTGACTGGAACACAAGAGAAAGAATCTGGCGAACTGCAAGATGGTGTTGGGACTGGTGACGAAAAAGGATCGGTGCAAGTGACACTCTCAACCTCCTCGTTATAGTCATCCCTTGTCATATCTGAGCCGCCTTTGAGGAAATAACTAAAGGAATCTGGTGAACCACATGGATAGGTTGATGGGGTTGATGGTGAAGAAGGATCATTTAGTGAATCATGGCTTTCTGATCCTTCATCCGCCACACCAGTGGCTATATCATCAAATGGAGAAGAATTGTATCCCACTTTGGATGCCGTAACAAACTCTTTCATCACGCCACTAGCAAACTTCTGCCGAAGCCTATCCCACCCGTTTTCTCTCGCAGGGAGGCACGTTTCTGAACCAGTATTTGATACGGAAAAAGGTGGAACCACTCCTCCAGCAAGTGCTTTGTGAAATATCTCAAAATCCAAATCATATGCACCAACTTTCCTTTCACCAACCCTGTTACTCGTATTACTCGTGTCATGTTTGGCCAATAAAGGTTCTTCTTCGGCACATTCATATTCATCTGACAATAGTTGTCTATTGCCAAGTGCATTCCAAAACTCAAAAGGCTCTTCACCTTCTTTAATGCTCACAATTGGACCCTGTGCCCTTTCATACCGGACAACCTGGCCAGCAGCCTCCTTTGCTTTATTTAGCATCACGATATTGCAACCTTTCCCAATCCAAATATATATGGAAGAAGGAATGTGCACGACGAATGCTCCACGAGAATCGAGTCGCTCTGCACTTGGATTGCTCAACATCTTTGGTACAAGATGAAGAGGATCATAAGGTGAGTGTGGGGCCATCCGATACATCCTCAGCACAGGAGTCGTGCTTGAAGGCGCAGCATGCACCCGCTTCTGGCACTGCAAGAGTTGGCAAGCAAACCCCATATTAGGGTTTGTCACCCCTCTAGCAGCCTTCACATACTGAAACGCATCCTCAAAGCTCTGGCCCTCCCTCCACATGAGATAGGCAATGACCAGAGAGGTCGATCGAGACACGCCTTGGCAACAATGCACTAGAACTCTCCCTCCCTGTTCTCTAACATCCTCAAAGTAATCAAACACATCATAAAGAATGCTCGTTATATCTTCAGATGGACTATCTTGCAACCAGAGCGTCTTGTACACAAGGTCGCTCTTGAAATACTCGGGGGAAACAAAGCCCACACAGTTGAGTACGTGCGTAATCCCATTCTGCCTCAACAATTCCCGGTTCTGAGCTACGGCATCACTCCCCAAATATATGTGATCAGCTATCCTCGAACACTCCTTATTGAAAAAAGCGAGCTTGTCCCTCTTGAACTGAAATTCCCTGACCGGAGTTTCCGAATTCGAACTATCGAGCTGCTTCCCCGTCGGCCCCCTCGGGGTTTGAGGGTTAGGCCACACGCCGAGGTCATCGGAACCGGCTCTAGGCCACTCCTCGACATTCCGGCGAGAAATAGCGAGGGGCTGAAGAGGCGGCAAGCAGGAGCGCGCCTTGTTATTCGGCTGCGGCCTCGGGTTCGGCTTGAAAGGCGACCGGTCGTTCCACGAAACAGAGCGCAAGTAAGCTTTCCGGGTGGCGCCGGCAGGCCGGTCTCTGTCTTCCTCCCCTAACATCTCAGGCAGGAATCACCAAACTCGCGCAAATAACGAGCACCCACAAGAAAGGATCGTTCCCGGAAAGAGCATTGAAAGGGG